GCTGGAGTGCAATGGCGCGATCTCGGCTCACCGCAACCTCCGCCTCCCGGGTTCAGGCAATTCTCCTGCCTCAGCCTCCTGAGTAGCTGGGATTACAGGCACGCACCACCATGCCCAGCTAATTTTTTGTATTTTTAGTAGAGACGGGGTTTCACCATGTTGACCAGGATGGTATCGATCTCTTGACCTCGTGATCCACCTGCCTCGGCCTCCCAAAGTGCTGGGATTACAGGCTTGAGCCACCGCGCCCAGCCTGAGAAGGTGACTTCTTTACAGATTGCTCCATTATTAAAAGAAGTGCATATCAGAAGAAATATTAGAACATCAAGCATCTGTTTATATAAGAGAATGAAGTGTGGTTTTTAGGAAGACCACCTACATTTTTACATAGCTAACATTTCTATATGTTGTTTGACCAAGGTAGCAAAGTGAGAAGTAGAAACATTTAAAAGTCACAATGCTGGTGTGACACAGTGGCTCATGCCTGTAATCCCAGCATTTGGAGAGGCTGAGGCAGGCAGATCGCGTGAACCCCGGAGTTCAAGACCAGCCTGGGCAACATGGCAAAACCACATCTCAATAAAAAAATACAAAAATTAGCCAGGTATGGTTGTGCATGCCTGTAGTCCCAGCTACTCAGAAGGCTGAGACAGGACGATCGCCTGAGCCCAGAGCGTCAAGGCTGCAGTGAGCTGCGAATGCACCAATGTGCTCCAGCCTAGGTGACAGAGTGAGACTCCTGTCTCCAGAAAAGAAGAAAATAAGTGAAAATGCCAAGCCAGAAAAGGGTAATATGTAACTATCCACTGTATTTTATAATGCATAGTAGCCAATTCTTAATTATTCCTCTGAAGAGGAATTGATTACAGAATTAATTATATTTAGTAGTTCCAAAATCTCAAGTCATCAATTTCAGTTTTACTTCTCTCCCTAGTACAGCCATTGTCTTTCATTTAAACAGGGGTTTGCAAATAGCAAAGTCCACGTATTTGTATATCCCTACCTCTAATACAGATATGTATTGGCAGAGCTCTTGAATAGAGAGAGGTCTACTATATTTTTCCTTATCATAGAAATTGGAAATAAGGGCCTTTAACTGCTCTATTTGAAAAGAAAAATAAGTTTTTAAAATGTTACCTACTTTAAAAGTAATAAAGACTATCATTATTGCTTACGTTGCTGGAGGTTAAACTAAGCCATAAAACCAAGTGTATAAATAAAATTCATTTTTTATTTTAAATGATTTCTCTGAACTGTAGGCCAGTTCTTTTGAAAAGCTGGTGGATTACACTGCTTATGAATGAAAATTCTCCCGTCAAGAGCCCTCACCTTTATTTTAACTCTAGAAAGATAAAAACCAATTTGTCATATTTTCCCTGAAAATAGCTAATGTAGTTTCAGTTCTTTGTTTTGCAGAGAAGTTAATTGCCCCCAAAATCGACTAAAGTATTCCTTCTATAGGTTGAGTTGTTCCTGCCACCTTTTCACTTTTTAAAAAGAACTTGCAACCTATTCTTATCATTTTTATTTTTTTAAAAATTAAAAACCTTATAGTTAGAAATTTTTTTGTCCTATTCATACCTAAGCAGTCTTATGGCAGTTTAAGCCAGTTTCTTCTAATTTTGGTTTTTAATTGGAAGACTTCACACAGGATTTTGTGCATACTTGTTGCCATTAACTGCTTGAAGTTCATTTTCCAAATTGCCTGTTATGGTTTTATAAATTCCAACTGTATGAATGGGCAACTACAGGAAAATGTCGTTTATGAATACACAACACACAAGTCATAACAAACAAATTTTTCTTCACTTTTTTGACTCATCTTAAGGGCCTACTTTTAAAAAGTCAGAATACACTGCTAGGCTACAGATACTAGTTCTTTCTTCTCAAACATACAAATTCATTGAAGATCATTATAACAAAATATTTTTAAAAAATCAATATCCTGGCCGGGCGCGGTGGCTCAAGCCTGTAATCCCAGCACTTTGGGAGGCCGAGGCGGGTGGATCACGAGGTCAAGAGATCGAGACCATCCTGGTCAACATGGTGAAACCCTGTCTCTACTAAAAATACAAAAAATTAGCTGGGCATGGTGGCGCGTGCCTGTAATCCCAGCTACTCAGGAGGCTGAGGCAGGAGAATTGCCTGAACCCGGGAGGCGGAGGTTGCAGTGAGCCGAGATCGCGCCATTGCACTCCAGCCTGGGTAACAAGAGCGAAACTCCGTCCCAAAAAAAAAAAAAAATCAATATCCTTCCATATTGTGAATATATTTTGTTTCCTATAAAGCACAAGATGGATAATTTTGTTGAAATTTTTTTAGTTATCTGATCATGTAAGCTTCCTATTTTGGACTGAGGTTGTCTTCCAGATAAGCTAAAAATGACAAAATCAGACTAATATTTTTAATAAGGGATTTGCATTATAAGAGAAAGCATTTTTTGTTGGATGGGTGGTTGGTTGGTTTTTTTCATATAAATAAGAGAAGAAAATTACATTTTTTTCTTTGGTTTGATTTGGTTTTTAAAAATATCCTGAAGAGTCATGGCCAAGTAATAAAGTTTTTATAATATTATATGTTATTTTGGCCAGGTGCTGTGGCTCACACCTGTAATTTCAGCACCAGGAGGCCGAGGTGGGCAGATCACTTGAGGCCAGGAATTCAAGACCAGGCTGGCCAACATGGCAAAACCCTGTCTCTACTAAAAATACAAAAAATTAGCCAGGTGTGGTGGTGTGTGCATGTAGTCCCAGCTACTTAGGAGGTTGAGGCTTGAGAATGGCTTGAACCTGGGGAGACAGAGGTTGCAGTGAGCCGAGATCACATCACTGCACCTCCAGTCTGGGTAACAGAGCAAGACTGTCTCAAAAAAAAAAATTATGTTATTTGAACAGGATTTGATGAACTTGGCCTGTTGTTGTCATTATGTTATATGGTTTTCTGTATGGCATGGAAAGTTTTCCTTTGTTCTTAAGTTGTAAAGGTGGTGGCAGTCCTGCATGCACTTTTTAATTCATTTGATATAACCAGATTCAAATCAGAAAGAGAGGATTGCCAAAAATTTGGGGGTAAATTTTGTTTTCTTTAGAATGGTAGTTTTCAGACCTTTTATTTAAGCTGTCAGAACTCTTTTTCAAATAAAATCTTATTTTGGGACTTCAATTTAGAAAACTGATTTAAAATCTTATTTTATCACTTGCAATATTGTGACTTGTAAAGTTCATCAGTGAGAACACTGGAGCTTAGATGGCCATTACTATCTGATCTCATCCTCATCGATCCTAGTTTTTGTGTTTTAATTGCCCAATATCAAGAAAATTTTAATTCCTAAAGATAAGCAGTAGTTGCTAGTGCTGGCACTGCTGCTGTTTATTAACACCTCACTTTGTAACCTCAGCATACTTTTCAGTTAAGCAGAAATAACAAGAAAAAATTTACTTCTAAGCTTGTATATAAGTTAACCAGTCTTTATTATTTATTGCTCTATCTCCAGATTCTAACATACCATCTGTAATATAACAAGTACTCACTTAAATATTTACGGCATGAAGAAATGAATGAACCAGTAGCATTAGTATTCTACAGTGTACTACATTTTAACATATTTATGCATTTGAGCGTGAATTTGTATTTTAGATAGGTACATGTGAAGTTTGGATATAATATTTGTGGAATGCCTAAAGTCAGAACTAGATTCAGCTGGACTCAGTTTGAAGCCCATTGTTTTAAAGAAATATATATATATTTCATAAAGATGACAAACAATCTCAGCTAAGGAGATCGTCCAGATAAATCCCTTTATCTTATATCTTCCTCTATAAGCTGGTCTTGAAAATAGTTGGTTTTGTGGGCTTTTAAAAATTTTTTTAAAGACAGGGTCTTAATTTCACTCTGTCTCCCAGGCTGGAATACAGTGGCACAATAATAAATAGCCCACTGTAGCCTAAAACTCCTGGGCTCAAGCAGTCCTCCCACCCCAGCCTCCAGAGTAGCCAGGACTACAAGTGCACACCACCATGCCCAGCTACTTTTTAAAAATTATTTGTAAAGTTTAGATCTTGCTGTGTTGTCCAGGCTGATCTTGAACTCCTGATGTCAAGCAGTCCTCTCACCTCAGCCTCCCAGTTGCTGGGATTACAGGCATGAGCCACTGTGCCTGGCCAACAGTTGGTTTCTAAATCAAACCTAGAAGTATGCATTTGCCAGGTGCAGTAGCTCACGCCTGTAATCCCAGCACTTTAGAAGGCTGAGGCAGGCAGACTGCTTGAACCCAGGAGTTCAGGACCAGCCTGGGCAACATGGCAAAACCCCATCTCTACCAAAAACAAACAAACAACAACGACCAAAGAAAAAAAACACACAAAAAATTAGCTGGGCATGGGTAGTACACACCTGTAGTCCCAACTACTCAGGAGGCTGAGGTGGGAGGATCACTTGAGCCCAGATCAGTCACGCCACTGCACTTCAGCCAGGGAAACAAATAAAAAAACAAAGTCGTTTATATTAATCACAAAACAGACATGTTTTTATTGATAAAGATGAGAAGATTTTTTTTTTTTTTTTTTTGAGACGGAGTTTCGCTCTTGTTACCCAGGCTGGAGTGCAATGGCGCGATCTCGGCTCACCGCAACCTCCGCCTCCTGGGTTCAGGCAATTCTCCTGCCTCAGCCTCCTGAGTAGCTGGGATTATAGGCATGCGCCACCATGCCCACCTAATTTTTTGTATTTTTAGTAGAGACAGGGTTTCACCATGTTGACCAGGATGGTCTCGATCTCTTGACCTCTTGATCCACCTGCCTTGGCCTCCCAAAGTGCTGGGATTACAGGCGTGAGCCACCGTGCCCAGCCCGAGAATATTTTTAAGAAAATGATGTAAGTTTGAGACTTTTTTCCCGTCTTAGCCAAGTAAACTAGATTGTATATTGACATAAATATACTATACTTGTATCATTAAAATGTTTCAAAGTGGCCAGGTGTGATAACTCACACTTGTAATCCGAGCACTTTGGGAGGCCAACGCAGGTGGATCGCTTGAGGTCAGGAGGTGGAGACCAGCCTGGCCAATATTGTGAAACCCTTCTCTACTAAATATACAAAAAAAAAAAAAAAAAAAAAAAGCCAGGTATGGTGGCGGGAGCCTGTAGTCTCAGCTATTCGGGAGGCTGAGGCAGGAGAATCTCTTGAACCCAGGAGGGAGAGGTTGCAGCGAGCCAAGATTGTACCACTGCACTCCAGCCAGCCTGGGCTACAGAGCAAGAATCCCTCTCAAAAAAAAAAAGCGTTTCAAAGTTCAGTGCCCCATGAAGATTTTGATGTTTTGTTTTACTCTTTCATTTGTATTTGCTTGACAATGTTTTGATTACCTTTTCTATTTAGATTTGTGATTTTGGATTGGCCAGAGTGGAAGAATTAGATGAATCCCGTCATATGACTCAGGAAGTTGTTACTCAGTATTATCGGGCTCCGGAAATCCTGATGGGCAGCCGTCATTACAGCAATGCTATTGACATCTGGTCTGTCGGATGTATCTTTGCAGAACTACTAGGACGAAGAATATTGTTTCAGGCACAGAGTCCCATTCAGCAGGTATGATTTCAATTTAAGGCTTTAGTTTCAATTCTGTTACAGATTTGAAAGAAAAATCCATCTTGTACATGTCTTGGACTTATTCATTATACTGTCTAATTTGCTTTTAGGAAATTCAGGGGTTCACTTAAAATTCAGAAGGTTACAAAGTTGAAGATTACAAAGAGATTCATTTTGTAACTTACAAGCCTTTAGAGGGAGTGTTGACTTTATTCAGCTATTTATTATTTTATTTACTTTTTTGAGATGGAGCCTCACTCTGTTGCCCAAGCTAGAGTGCAATGGTGCCATCTCAGCTTACTGCAACCTCTGCCTCCCGGGTTCAAGCAATTCTTCTGCCTCAGCCTCCTGAGTAGCTGAGATTACAGGCACATGCCACCATGCCAGGCTGATTTTTTGTATTTTTAGTAGAAACGGAGTTTCACCATGTTAGCCAGGCTGGTCTGGAAATCCTGACCTCAAGTGATCTGCCCATCTTGGTCTCCCAAAGTGCTGGGATTACAGGCGTTAGCCACTGCGGCCTGTTGACTTTATCATACTGCGGCCTGTTGACTTTATCATATGCACTGATGCATAGCTGCAGGCTCTGCTGTAACAATTTGCATAGGTATAATCTTTAGTTGTTAGAAAGCCTCTCTTCCTTCTAAATGAATGGCTCTGACTTGAAAATGTATCGATGACTTAATGTACTTAAACTTTGTGCTTAGAATATAAATTTTTATTGTGTTGATTTCTTGAAATCTGAACATTTAGGAAAATTTCTAACCTTTATTATTGGACTAAAATATTTAAATATGACAGAGAACATCAGGAAATGATTAAAGTATAGCTTTAAGAAGCCATTCATGTTACTTTGTCTTTAAAGCTAATTCACTAATACACATATTTTCTTGGGATACTTACTAGGTATTTTTTATTTACAAATTTTAACAGTATTACTTGCATGAAAATAATGTAGCGACCATGAGCTGAGGTTGTGAAATGAAGTTGATGGGTCCAAATCCTAGCTACACCATTTAACTGTTAAATCTTAGGCAAGTTACTTAACCTTTTCTTTTTCTTTTTTTTTTTTTCTTTTTTTGTCCCTAAAACTGTTCTGAGGATTGTTGTACAATGAAGTAGGAAAGCTGAAAATGGGGCCTGGCACATAGTAAGCACTCTGTAAATGTTTGCAATTACAATGGTGGTAGTGTGCTAGGATGCTAGGGATACAGCAGTAAATAAGACAGTGTTCTTACCTTTGTGAAACTTTCACAAGACAAAAATAAGTATGCAAATAAATATCCCAAATAATGGCAAGTTTCATGAAGAAAAATGTAGCTAGGTTAGGGATAGAGAATGATGGGGAAGCACAGCAGGCATTAAAGGATTCTCTGAGAAGATAACATTTCACCCACATGAAATGAGGCAGCAAGTTGCTGGAGAAGTGTTCCAAGAAGAGGGACAACCAGCATAACAACACCCCTGAGGCAGGAATAAGCATAGCATGTTCAAGGGTTGGCATGTGATGAAAGACGCTGGTGGGAGATGAGGTTAGAAAGAGAGAAAGAGCTTGGCCATGGTGACATGATAAGGCCTTAAGATTTATTCTAAGTGTGAGAGAAAACTTAAATGAAGGTTTTGACCAAAGGAATATTAAGATTTGATTGATGACATTTAAAAATATCACACCACTGTGTGTCTTTGTAAATAATTCATGCACTTAACCAGAGATAGAATTCTTTTTTGCTTTTTTTACAAAGAATTGTTACCTAATTTGTTAGAAACTATATCTACTTTAATCAACATTTAAATTTATTTCTATATATTCAGACTATCTTTTGTGAAGTTTACATCTTAAAAATTGATTCTGATGTTAAAAAATCATGTACATATATGTAATCTAATGTTGGGTACTATTGACAATATTCACTTTTCAATTTCTTTAGAAAGTGAAGTTTAACAGATTTAACCTATAAGACTATCATATCTGGACATAAGAAGCTGTCATAAAATGAATGTGACTACTACCTTGCATACAGAAAAGCTTAAGTAAAAAATAATAAGGAGGTATTCAAAGCCTATATATTGAACAAGAATCTTGAATTGCTGCTGCAAAGAATATGTGAGGGAAAGTGTGAAGCAACTGGACTGGAGTTCAGATATCTCCTTTTCTAGAGAAATAGATAGATCTTGAGTTTGGCAGTCTGACATAGCCACTGCAGGAGAATTCATATCTGTCTAATTGTTGCTGTGTGTTGGGGTGAGAAATAAATATCTAAAATAGGAAAAGACTCTAAGTGGAAGTCGTTATTTCCTGTTGTATTTTCTTTGAATCTTTGAGAATTAATTACCCTAGTACCAGCAGATGTCATAAAAATGTTTCCCATCTATGGATCTGACCCATTTTAGACAACTTTCTGAATGTTTCCATTTGTTTTTGCAAGCTAGTCATTTCCTTCTTCCTTTAGTGTGGTAGTTAGAGGTCCAAAAATACCACCTACACACTTTTCCCGAAAAGCTTTGTATAGAGATCTTTACTTCTGTGGAAAGCAAGCTTCTCAAGTATCTCCATTAACCTGTAGGGCGGTGATGCTGATGGCTACCCCATGGGTTAGATAAGTGCAGAAAATAGTGCTTTATATTCGGCAAGCCCAGAGCCAGGAAAAAAAATGCTCTCTAGGTAAGAATTTCCCATCCTGAAGGGATCCAAATGAAATATGATTGCTAATTAGGTTATGAAGTTAGAATAATTGTGACACTACAGAAAATTAGTAAGATAGTTTGCTGCCCGAAGACTTGTTTGCAAAAACAGTGTTTTATTGGTCTCTTTTATTGTGTCCAGCTAGCTAAATGTGGTCTTATGTGGTGTCATATTTTCTGTGTCACAGTTTTCTGCCAGTGTAAGAGATTTCTAGTATGACTAGAGTGTAAAGGATGCATACTGGCCCAAGCATGGGGAGCTTAGCTTTCATTTCAGGTGTGAATGTTTCCAGTATTTATTAAATCACAGGTGTCTGATTTGTGGCTTAGCTCCTTAATGAGCCTAAATCCACTTGAAGCATCAGAATCCATTCATTAAGTGTTTGGAAAGAACAGTCATTAGCCATCAACAGAAGAGGAATTCAACTTTGCAAAGATCTTAGATGCTAAGGTATCAAGAAAACAGGACAGGCAGATGCAGACTCCTAAATTGCTCTAGCCTTAGAATGTCATGCTTGCCAAAACATGTTTTCCATATTTCTAATGTATGGATTCCTGATAAATAGGAACTTTTAAATAATAAATAGGAATAATAAATTAACAGGAATTTATTTATTTTAAATTCCTTTATGTGAGGAATTTACTTATTATAAATTCCTAGATACCGTTTTTTTAATAGGCCAGAAAGTGAAAGTAGGGGCTCCTGTCAGCATCTAGAGCTTGTCTTAAGGTTCCCCCCCCCACCCCTTTAAGGCTCTAATCACAGCCTTAGAGATGCAAATTTGGTCTGCATCTCTAAGGCTGTGATTTAAGAGTAATGAATCGTTATTTCCATGAGATTGCTATCTGTCTGTATTTTATGTTTCCTTGTAGTTGGATTTGATCACGGATCTGTTGGGTACACCATCACTGGAAGCAATGAGGACAGCTTGTGAAGGCGCTAAGGCACATATACTCAGGGGTCCTCATAAACAGGTGAGAGGAGTGAGGGGGATCTTTTTCTGGTAACCATCTGTTTGGGCAAGATTTCTCTTCCAATAGAATATTAAGGATTTTTAAGCAAATGTATTATTTGTAGGTGTTTTTTTTAAACGTTATGGTTCTAAGTAAGAAAATGTTTATTATTTGTTAAACTAAATAAAATCTCCTCATTCCTGATGCCATAGGAGAAAGTGCATGTTTTGTAGCTCCTTTGCTAATAAATGACCCTTGGCTTTTTGTCTCCTGATTTAGTGGTATAGATGGGAAAAACTACTGGAGATGGAGCTTTGACCTCAATGTCATAACCTAGTATATGTATATCAAGATGCCCTTTCCAAATACTGAGCCAATATAGCTGGTAGTTCTTATTCCAGCCAGGGATGTGAAGCTGTTGCTATTGCACTAACACAGAATCATCTGAAAAGAAGAAAAGAAGAATGAAGATAGATTGCCAGATTTGCACTCATCAATATTATTTGCAACTAGCCGAGTCACTGCTGAGAAAGACAAGATGGTTTTTTATCTCCACCTGTTGATTTAGCAGCAGTTTTTACAAGCACTTTCTAATCCTTTGGACAGAACAGCTTAATGATGTGAAGAGTGAATAAGGCAAATACTTTTCCTAGGAGCAACAAATTAGAACAGATAAGACTTGAACAGGATGACCTAGCAACAAATTTTCCTAAGTTTTGGTTTCTTTTGAATTGGACATTTAGATTATCTGATTGATGGTACCAAATGACAGAGTGAATTGGACACTTCTTCTCAAACTGTCAGCCAGACGTTTGCAAAAGGAAGGCCTCACCTTCCTTTTGCAGTTCTCTTTTTGCAATTCTAATGTGACTCCAGAGCTTTGTTGTCACAGGCATAAAGGGCAATGAGGCAAAGTGTGTTCGCTTTTAAAGCTAGCCCAGGCTAGCAAATAGAGATATATGCTTGTTTGTTAAATAGCCCCCTGATGATTACATCTTTCTGTTGCATTTGGTTTAGAACTATAAAATAATATGAGGCCCTAACATCCTTACAAGAGAGCAGTAAATCTTAACCTAGAGGAAAGTTCTATATTATAGAAGAAGGAACTAACAAGATCTATTATGTTCTGTTTATTGGCCAGCATCAGGAACATTAAACTAATTTACTAATGCCTCTTGGTAAATGTGTCCTTAGAAGTAGCAAAATAATTGTCCTCTTTCACTGACTTCATTAATTAGTAAATCTTGCCTGGTTCAAGGTAAACAATAATGAAAACTGATGAAGATCAGACACCCTATGTCACCCTTCTGTCTCTAGAGGATTTTTAACTGTTGTTAATGGTTGCTAGTTAATCATCTGTGTCAAAGAGTTGCTAAACAGCAGCCTGAAGAACAAGGAAACTGAGGAGTTTCCCATCTGCTGTCTAGATAGGACAGCTCAAAAACGTAACTTACCTTACCAAAAGTCACTGTGCACTGCTCTGAGCATTCCTGGCAATTGAGTACTTTTTCTGTGAAAAATTTAAAAGTCTGTTAGTTGTAAAAACCTAAGACTTTCCATGAAATAAAAAGTAGTATATTATTTTATAAAGAAGAGGAAAGGAAAATCTGAAGTTCCACTTTTATTTAACTAATTAAATAGGCTGAGATGTCTAACCAAATCATTTCTTATACATTTTACTATTAATTGACCTCTTAACAGTAATACCTTTGCTTGTCACTGAGTTTAGTGATGACCTTAAGGGAACACTGTGGTAAAAGGGGCAGCCCTGTGCAGTCTTGGTGTTGGAATATTTTGATTTTGAAGAGAAGACTGGTGGAGTGAAAACTAGTTAGGAGACCATTTCCATTTAAAGGCTAGATGCACTTTGCAGAGACTTTAAGGTCTTTAGATGGCTTTTATCTACTGCTAGAAATGGCCTCCTTAGGCAGATACTCATGGTCTTTGAACACTAATCCAGCTAGATGTGTATAAAGTTATACCAACTATATATAATTGAATGTAAATGAACCTAGCATATTGCCTGTTTTCATTTTCCCTCCAGTATGGAAATTCAGTTTTTGATCTGTGTTTGCTAATTGATCTATCATCACTGCTCTCAAGAGATGTTAACAGGTTCTTGAAACTTTTTACTTAAGCCACCAATCAGATTCTACCTTTTCACTTCCCACTCCCTGCCCACTCACCAATCACAAGATGCATGCCCTGTGTGCCTCTTGTTGGCCTATTAGCAGCTGCTTAAAGGTATCTCCATTCATGTTATAGCTATTTACAGCTGAGGTTGGAAGACACCTACACACAAATATATTTGGTATGTAGCTACCTGGATTTTTTTTTTTTTACTTTAAAAGATTAATTTGGTCTTTGGAATAACAATATAGCTTATGTTCTGTACATCATGACTCTTCTGCAAAATGTATCGTGTTTAGTTTAGTGCTCTGCACAGGTTGTATACTGAATTTATAACCTCTGGACTGTAGCGATTAAGAGTGCAGACTGTGGTGTCAATCTCAGGTTTACCACGTTGCACATGTTTTGAATGGTGAACTGGGAGTTGTACAATACAGTTTTCAGACGGACTGAGTATGAATCCTGGCTCTGCTAGTACCTCCCTTTGTGACTTAGGCAGATTATTTAACCTCTGTGTATATCAGTTCATTCATATGTAAAATGAGGATTAAAAATGGTTTTACCTCATTAAATTATTATAATGATATAAGAGCTAATGCATGTAAGAAGAGCATAAAATAGTGCCTGGCACATAGAAAACATTTAATAAATATTAACCATTAAAGTTATGACTCTAAAATAGCAAATGAAGCTTATGACTTTTTAAAAATTACACATGATCAAGTGAGATTTATCCCAGGAATGCAAGGATGGTTCACCTACAGAAAATCTATTAATGTTTTATAACATCTTAAGTGAGAAAAATCATGATTATCTCAGTTGATGCAGAAAAGGCATTTGATAAGGTTTAGTCCATTTTATGCCTTAACATTTTAAAGGATCCTTACAAAATATCTATAGAAAAATTTTGGATGAATTTCTGTTAAGCTTATGAATAGTACAGAATGAAGTATATGATACTCTGCATGAAAGAAAAATGTGTGCACAGAGAAAGAGCCTCTGACTTTTAGAAAAGACTCCCAGTAATCCTCAGTGATGCTGCTTAGGCCAATTGGAGGTCTTCATTGAGAGGTCTAACTGGGGCAAGCTCTATCTCACTGTATTTATTTTAAATTACTTAATATAGGAATATTAGATTGATGGTTTTTAAACTCATGAAGAATACTTATAAAAATTCAATATAAGTTTTTGAGTTTGGACTGAGAAAAACTAAGCTTCTTTCAAGTAGTTTTCATCTAAGTAATTACTCAAAGTTAGACATAAATTATCTTTTTTTAATAATTTCTAACAATAATTAGAACTTTGCTATGTACTGAACACTTCTTATATATTACCTCATTAAATTATCACAATAACACTATAATGTAAAATTACCATTCCTTTTTACAGATGGGAAATGGAAAAGTAACAGAAATTAAATAACATGTTTAACATCATAAACCAGATCTTAAAATTAGGTTTCCTTAACTCTAAAATCTATATTCTTAGCTAGTATATACTGCCTGGCACCTATATCTTCACAGCAGATTTATTAAAATTTCATTTTTATATATGCAGGTAATCTGTGAGTGAGAACATATCAAATAAGATAAAAATTTTACAGCAAGTTAGTTATCGCAACTACCACCTTCAATCCCAGTCCCATCTGGATTAACGTAAGAATATCTTTCCAGATATATATTCACATATTTTTTATATGTATTTGTACAAATAGAATATTGGACTTTCAAAAACATACAATGGACCATTAAGCAATGCAGGGGCTAGGGGTGCCAACTCCACCCCCTAACCCCCTGCCTACAGTCAAAAAACCATGTATAAGTCAATTAACAGCCGGGCGCGGTGGCTCACGCCTGTAATCCCAGCACTTTGGGAGGCCGAGGCAGGTGGATCACGAGGTCAAGAGATCGAGACCATCCTGGTCAACATGGTGAAACCCCGTCTCTACTAAAAATACAAAAATTAGCTGGGCATGGTGGCGCATGCCTGTAATCCCAGCTACTCAGGAGGCTGAGGCAGGAGAATAGCCTGGACCCAGGAGGCGGAGGTTGCGGTGAGCCGAGATCGCGCCATTGCACTCCAGCCTGGACAACAAGAGCGAAACTCCGTCTCAAAAAAAAAAAATAATAAGTCAATTAACACGTTTTGTATATGTATTATATACTGGTATTCTTATAATAAAGTAAGCCAGAGAAAAGAAAATGTTATTAAGAAAATCATAAGGAAGAGAAAATGAATTGACTATTTGTGTATAAGTAGATCATCATAAATGTCTTCATATTGAGTAGGCTGAGGAGGAAGAGAAAGGAGGGGTAGCAGAGGTAAGTGGTGAAGGAGGTGGAAGGAGAGGCAGGCACACTCAATATAACTTTTATTGGAAAAAAAAATTCACATCTAAGTGGACCCATGCAATTGAAACCTGTGTTGTTCAAGGGTTAACTGTATACATACACAAAAGGAGAACCTAATTGACTGTCATCTTAAAGTCACAGATTAATGTGTCAAATTAATGTATTTGTGTTGGTTGGTTAATATAAATGCTTCTGGGCCGGGCGCGGTGGCTCAAGCCTGTAATCCCAGCACTTTGGGAGGCCGAGGCGGGTGGATCACGAGGTCAAGAGATCAAGACCATCCTGGTCAACATGGTGAAACCCTGTCTCTACTAAAAATACAAAAAATTAGCTGGGCATGGTGGCACGTGCCTGTAATCCCAGCTACTCAGGAGGCTGAGGCAGGAGAATTGCCTGAACCCAGGAGGCGGAGGTTGCGGTGAGCCGAGATCGCGCCATTGCACTCCAGCCTGGGTAACAAGAGCGAAACACCGTCTCAAAAAAAAAAAAAAAATATATATATATATATATATATATATATATAAATGCTTCTATGTGGCA